GTGGTGGGTTTTTCTCTGCTGCCTTCACAGCTCTGAGCTAGCGAGCTCTGGGTTCAAGTCCTAGTGACCTTTACTCATGTAAACGCTAGCGTGTGAGGCAAGCAAAAGACTGACTGTGCCGAGACCCTGCTCTGATGATAGTTGAGGTCAATGGGAAGGCTCCCACTGTCTTCACTGGTCTTGATTTGGCCCCTCATAGCATTGCCATCCATGCTTTGAAATGCTGACGTGAGACCTACTGTCTGCCCCATCTCTGTCCCCCAGTTGCAGCTGGAAGGCCACGGCACATACCTGGGTGCACGCTCTGAGTGCCGTCCCCTGGGGGAGGTCCCTGAGCGTGAGAGCAGGACCTGGCCTTATGAGAATCCCACTTGTGTTGGCTTGTCACTGCTTACCATGGTTTTTTTGTGGTGTTTTTAGCTTCTTCACCATTGAGCAGGGGGCTGAACTAGATGTGACCTCCTGAGGTCCCTTCCACCCTCATTCTCTATGACTCTGTTTTCACAAGAGGTTGTAACTGAGGGCTCTTCTATTCCAGGGGCCGAGAGGGTTAAGAGGCCTCGCAGGGCCAGTGGGTCCAGTTGGGGACAGGGTAAGTAATGAGCACCTCCTCCAGATGTTCCCCCTTGTTAAATCCATGCAGCGGGCAGTGCTGGGGGAGCACCATAGGGGCCCAAACGGGAGGGCACCCCCTCCATACAGGGCACCCCGAGTGAAATCTGTGGCACTCCCAGCATTCAGGGAATGCTCCAAACAGAGGGGCCAAGCGGACGCCCTGCCAGGAGAGGGAGATGGTAATGAGCTTTGCAGAGGGCTCAGCCATTTCACATGATGCCACTTGCATCTTCTTCCAAGCAAAAGCTGAAGGACGGTTGGAAGGACACGGCATTTCCCTGTAGCTTCTGGTGCTGTATGGTCCAGGCTTTCACCATCAACTTCATCACAGGATTCGGCCCTTACTGAGCAGTACAGCTATCTAGTCCCAAGGCTATTGACTTGGGGGCTAAACAGTGGAGCTTGATGACATCGAGCCTTTCTGTAGGGACAGATGCACCACCAAGGCTATGAGTGCTCTGAGTCTGTCAAGGAGAGGATGGCAAAGAACCTATCTGGGTTTCATCCTCTATGCCATGAAGCATTTGGTCCTTTCCAGCTTCGTGCCTGCTTGCAGTTCGGCGTCTAGTCTAGGAAAGCTCTGATGGTGTATTTTAACAAGGTCTTGCTGTTTTCAGGGAGATATTGGTTTCCGGGGGCCACCAGGAATGCCAGGACCTCCAGGGAAAGCTGTACGTATCCATCTCACACCTTGCAGTCCTGTTCCACCGTGTCACTTTTGAATCTTTAATGTTTGCTCTCGCCATGCCAGGGGCCAGTGTGGGATCGTAGGACTCGAAGGGAACCCCTGATTTATCACACCTAGTGCCGTGCTGCTGCCACAGCTACATCACACAAGCCCTAGTGGGAACTACTCCAATATTGCCCCAGAAATATTGCACGTGCACCGCATCATCTTATCACTTGCAAAGACAGATGTGTGCACGCCCTGACACTTCCTAATGGCCCGCCTAGTCCCCGATTGAGAACGCTCCCATCTTTCACTTGATCACCTTAGATCCTTCTCTCCCCTCCACAAAAAGCTGCATCCTCTTCTGTGTCCCAGGTTTCAGTTTTTTCTCGCCACCATGCACATGCCCTAATTCTACCTAAAGAAGGTCAGTGCCCTCCTATAGTTCACCCTTCTCTGCCTCACTTGATATGGGCAGAAACTCGGGAAGGGAAGGGGAAACTTGCTGCATTGCCCATGGGCAGATGTTCTGCTTAGGAAGAGGAGGTTGTCGAG